CCCAGAGAGAAACACTTAGCTGATCTAAGGTGGGTAAGTTAAAATGGCTTGGAAACCAGGACAATTCTGGATTTCAGAAGGGTGAAGCTAAAAGTAAAATCAATTTTTAAAATAATATGAAAAGTAATCTCCCATCAAATTATATGATAAACTTTCTATTTTAAAAGAAATAATAAAAACAAATGTGGATAATTAGATTCCTTCAAAATAAAAACTTCCCAACATTAACAAAAAGACAGCAGGAACACACCAAACAGATAAAATGTTTAGCACCTAAGTAACACATAAAAAGCCTATACAAGGAGATGAGCAAAGATATGACTTCAAAACCAGCAGTTAACAAGTAAGAAAAGAGTGACTTACACATGAATGTGCAAGTCTTCCCCTTGAGAGTAACATGCTCATTAAAATTATACTCCAAAATGCTCTCTGGAGCCATTCCTGGCTTGCTCAGTTGACTAGAGGGACAAGTTGAGCAGTCTGAGATTTCTAGGTGTGGTATTCGGGGAAGAGCATACAACCACCTTCTGCCCAAAAGAGAAAGGTCAAACATGATCCCAGGAAGTTGAGGGGAGATTTCAGATGCCTAAAAGTGAGGTCCCAGAATGAACCGGTAAACATCACCTCCCACGGAGTGTCTAGGAACAGATACTGACAGAACTAAAGAGTGGAGAAGAAATTACAATGGCTTGGAAACCAGGGAGTCCCCTCACCCTAACTGTGCAGCAAACTAGCATGTCCAGGATAATGAACAATGCTGGAATAATCTGCCATGAAAAAATTAGGGAGGGATAGTGGCTTAAGAGGCCCAGGGGCTCCTAACAGTGCAGCCATAAAGGAAGAGAAACCTGTAAGAACCGATCTTGCGTCTCTTACTTACTAGAAGAAATTCAAGACAGTTAGGAATTTGTACAAGATAAACTTCATGTTATTCACCAGGCACTAAGCTTATTCACAACCATCTCCTCTGCCAAGACACAAGCTAAACAGCAGTGATGTTTTACACAAAGTAAAACAATTTGTGTGTGTGTGTGTGTGTGTGTGCACTATCGGGTGCATACTTACTTCTATACCATGAGGAGGTGACTCCTACCCTGGTGTTATTCATGCCTTAGAGGAACTTGTGAATTATACATAGTCTAGTAGTGCGGTTGTGATTTCCTGAAGAGACTGTATGGAAGATAAAAGGAAAAAGTCGTCTATTCCAAGAGAAGCTGATTTGAAGGAAATGATTTCAAAAAAAAGAAAAAAGTGGAGGACTTATGAACTATTTGTCCCTACATACTCATTGTCACTGGATATCATTGATATTCAGTTTTTAACAAACCAGATAAGTAAAAGAAAATAACCCTCTGTGTCAAATTCACTTTTGTTTCCAAGGACTTGGGGACTCTGATTTTCATTGTCTTTATGTAAAATGTCTTTAAAACCATCTCCACCACTTTTATATTGTTTGTTGTCATCTGGCCTTGTCACTCCAATTCCTGCTTCTGTCTTCACATTTGTTTTCTCTCTCTTCTGTCTTGTAAGGATCCATGTACTTACTTAATTATTTCAGCCCATTCAGATAATCCAGGATACTCTCCCCCCTCAAGATCTTCAATTAACTCACATTTACAAAAACTCTTTTGCTACAGAACACCTGCTCCAATTCTTTCGGCATCAAAAACTGGCTTCATGGATGACATTTTTCTAAGGACAAGTTCCTAACAGGCCTAGAGCCAACACTCATCCATGCCAGGGGTTTGAGGACCCCTGCTATAAAAGGTAGCACTGACAGGATATTAGAATGTAGCTATCTTTGGGGAACCATTTTTTAGCCTAACACAAAACTTTCCCCTCCACTGGGTGGAACTCAATTTTCCCTCCTTCCTCCCCTCCTTTTAGTATGCACTGTCTTAAGGACTAAATTCTAAAGAATGACATATGGAAAAGGAAATGACTTACAGGGAGAAAACAGCAAACACTACCTTGGCCATGTGGTCAAGACATGTGGATAGCTTATATCCACTAGTATGATAGGAGGATAAGGTTAATTCACCCTGGAGGTATTCTTCTCCCAAACTTATAACCCAGTCTACTCTTGACATGCAGGCATTCTTTCTAGAATTTTTATCATACCTACCATTTAAGTACAACTAGCTGAAAATATTTATTATGGAAATTTCCTAGGGATAAAGATTTGATATATAGTTAATGGTACATATTTAATGAAATACTACTGAATATACTGTATAAGTGAAAACTGAAGGCAATATAATTTAGCATTATAAGCTGTATAAATTCCTCAAATAGAGTTATTGACAAAACGGGAAAAAGGACCGAGTTTCAGATGTATATCTTAGTTAAATTAAATAAACCAATAAAAGACATTGCTTCTTATAGAATGTTGGTCTTATACTGTATGCTACAAAACTTCACTTTGGAAAATTCTCCTTTGTTTAAGATGCAATAAAAATGTATACCAATTAAGTTTCTTTGTTTTACTAAATGAAGACATTGAACATGTTAAAATTTTGAGGAAGGCTTGAGGGTGCTTATTTTGGACTGGAAGTCAAAGAGAGAAAGAAGAAAAAGAAATTGAGAGGTAGAGAAGGAAGGAGATAAAAGGGAGAAAGGAAGCAGGAGGGCAGGGAGAGGAAGAATAAAGGAAGGAAAAGAGATAAACAGTATTTTTGCTTTCAATTAACTCTCCTATTAGGAAGCCTGAGAAGAAAGATTAAAGGATTTACCACCTGCTGAAATGGGAAGATTATGAGCATTGTTCAAATAAAATGCTCTGCCAACCCTGTAAATTTAGCAAAAGGATTTAAAATAAAGGAAATTAAATTTCTACCCAAACTAATTGCAGTTTTCAGACAATATAAGACTTGATAGCCTTCAGCAGTTTTTCCCTTTGTTGATTATTGTGAATGTCAGGACATGATTTTTCCTAGCCAGCATCTGTATACTCAGTAATAATGTACAAGTACTCATGAATAAATGCTTCACTGGAAATGTCGCACATACATGATGTATTAACATCCAGTAGTCTTAATTCTGTTGTTCATTTGTAAAATTAATGTCAATTCCCTTATATTTAAATTATTAATAATTATGACATACTCGGAGATCAGCATAGGGACTGAAGACAAACAAGTTCCTGACCACTTAAGATGTTACTCATTAAAAGCGTGGCCTGTGTTTTCTTCTGATCCAATCAGGGACTTAAAAGCATTTTTGCTAAGTACTGTGACTCTTCACTTGGGCCCACTGACCCTCAATACTTAATTAAAGCAAAACAAAGTTTGACCTTCATTTTGTAAAACTCTGGGTCAAATGTTGCCTCAGCTCTACATTTGTACATGTTGGTCATTTAGGAAATGTCTATCTAAAAGTTGGCAAAACAAGGTTTATTACTCTTAATTTATTTAGCCTGCCTTATCCCCCTTCAAAACTGAGGCCACCAAGATAAGAGATTTACAAGAACATGCAATGTGCCCAGAACACTCCATTGCCCTGAACCAAGGGCCACTTCAGACCAGCGCAGCCTCACAAGACTGAGACTGCCCCAAGCAAGGACAATCATCTTATAGGAGCCTAATCGCCCCCCAAGCCATAAAGATTCTTCCAGAGCTACAAATCCAGGAGTGAGACAATGGTCAAACAGACCCCAGCCGACCACAGCACTTCATAAGACTGGTCCATTCTGATCCTCTTCTTCAGACCTGTGCCCACCTCAGTTCCTCCTTATTTTCTCTTATTTTCTTTTGTGAGAAAACCAAATTGAACTTTGTCAGAGATGTGTCATCATCCTTCATTTTCTTAATATAATTCAAGCCTTTTCCTGCAAATTCATTCTGAATGTCTCCATTTTAATTTCCATTATCTCTGAAGCAAGGACCCACTTTAGGTGGCAATAGTTACACTATTAGGAAATAAGATGATTTTAAAATTCTGTTACAATTTCCAATATGTAAGATACAATAGCTGGAGTAGGGAAAAGGGCTCAAATTTCAAGAAATGTAGGACTTACACTTTCAAAACAAAATATCAAATTGTGGGAGTATTCCACTTCACTCACCTGCAAAGTGATGTACCCAATAATTTAATTGCCCGCTTCCTGTGTCATTGATCACTAATTGTAAGAAAACCAGTAATGGATGAAAAAATGCACACAGCATCTAGAATACTAAATTATTTGCCCCAATAGATGAGGGGCCTCAGACTTGCTGTCTTTTAGGATTTTATAACACTTTAAGTGCCACAATAATAAGAGATGGGGCAGACAGAAGTATCCAGAACATGAAAGTTCAAGGGAAGAGAAGCAAGAGAGAAAAGGAAACTATTTTCCTACTGACACCCTGTCTCTGTTACCTTAATTATAAACTTGTGGTGGTCTAGGATAACCTAATATTAAGTGTGAAGTAGTCAAAACTTGTTTATCAAGGCCCACAGAGACCTTTGATTTCACCCTTTTAATTCTTTTCATAGTTATTTTAGACTCATTCATGTCCCCTACATGGAAAATCCCAACCCTTTAATGCTCCTTTTTCTAACACCCTATCTCTTTCCCAGTAACTACCACTGCTCCATCACTTAAAGATTTGGGAAATAAAACAAGCTCAGTAATTTGTATCTCAACACAAATTACATATTACCTCTCAAAAAAAGCAAGTTAAGCCTAATTCTATTTGTGGAATGAAACGTTTTCCCCAATAAAAAAATTTTGTCTGTCAACAAAAATACGAGAAGAAGTGATAGTGGAGAATGGAACAAAGATTCAAATTCCATAGGCAACTATTTAAAATATTCAATCACTTGACTGTAGACTGAGGATGAGCCACATTAGAAAGAAATAGGAGACTTAGCTAAGGAAAGTGAGCCAACATTGGGAGCCAACATTGGGAGTTGACTAATCTAAAATGACAGATAATACAATTGCAGAATGCATACTACTGCTGTTAATTATATTAATTCAACCTACCTGCAAATTCTGCTTGCTTCCTGGGATCACTTCCAGACAGGAACACTGAAAATATGGAGTGCTTCCAGAGAAAGGCATCCATAATGATAATGAGAGGGACCTCAACATTATGCCACGTGAAACTTCCTTAGTAACACAGTATCCTGCAAATTTAAGGCTCATGATGGGAAAGGCATAATGGCTATCTTTGGATAATTTCTGTTCGTTGTATGGAAGATAGATTAGATTCATGCTATGTAGATTCACAGAAAAAAACATTGAAGATCCACGTTAAAAAATGTATAAACTCCAACTTTAAGTTCCCAATTATAAAAATGAGAAGGCAAATATTTCTTCACATGTCTTCTATTTAGCTCCCAAGAGATCCAAACTCATTTGTATCCCCAGGCTTCTACTTACACTCTGACCCTCACAGCAACCCCTCCACACCCGCACTTAAACTCACCCACTTTCACAATCATCCCAAGCCCGATTTCTTTGTGAGGGTTGCTTGACACTCATTGTGACATTTGCTACCACTCATTGTAAATGCCACTAATTCCGCAACTATGTTAACATACGTAGTTTTTTTTAATTTTGAAAGTATTTAAAAACAAGTCCTGTAGCCTTTCCTTTTTAGCATATTCAGATACCTAGTCACAATAGGTACTCTATAAGCACTTGATTACTTCTTGCAACTTAGCACCTGAAATCTAATGTTGTTCTACATTATATTGAGCTTCTTGAAGGGAAGATCTACTGGCTTTATATGTCTATCTCCTGGTCAAAATTCTAATACACAATAAATTTTTATTGAGTGAATCAATGGTGGTGGATTTTTTGTAAATAAATGATTGGAAGGAAATTCCTATAATATAAAATTAAATATTTTTAAATGAACAAGTCAGCAGTATTTATTACATTCTCAGTGTGGTGCAACCTCCACCTCTATCTACTTCCAAAACATATACATCACTCTAAAGTAAAATCCTTTTCACCCCTAAGAGAGTTTTTCCCCACCCTCCTCCCCAGGTTTCTAGTATACATCAATATGCATTCTATTTCCATGGATTTTTCTATTCTGAGTATTTCGTACAAATGGAACCATACATGTTACTTTTTGTGTCTGCCCTCTCACTTAACACAATATTTTCAAGGTTCATCTGTGTTGTTGCCTGTATCAGTACCTCAATTTTTATAAATAATAATATTCCATTGTATGTGCATACTATCATTTGTTCATTCATTTTATCCATTTATGGATATTTGGGGAGTTTCTAACTTTTACCTATTGTGAATAGTGCTATTATGAACATTTTCGTATAAATTCTTAAGTGTTTGCTTTTATTCTTTTGACTGTATATATAAAAATGGAATTTTGGGATCAAAATAATATATCTATGGTTACCTTTTTGAGGAACTGCCAAAATATTTCCCACCACGAGTGAACCATATTTTATGCCAACAGTTTATGAGAAAATACAAGGGTTCTGATTTCTCCACATCCTTTCCAATACTTATTTCCCATTTTTTTATTATAGCCATCCTAGTGGGTGTGAAGTAATACCTCTGGATGGTGGATTTTAAAACACTGCACTGTTTTGAACACATCTTTAACACCTGCACAGGTGACTACTTCTACATAGAGCATAGATTTCAGAGTTTCTCACTCTGTTCATAATTTCCACACTTTTTAAAGGATCTAAAAGTTATATACCTTCCCAGCACCACAAAACTTGAATTTCCCGTGCATATAAGCAAATAAAAATATCTATTGTTCACGAGTATAGCAGCAACATATGCCAATCTCCAGCTGTGGAGTTGCGATATTTTGCCTCTAACATCACCATATTCATACTTAAAGCCTTTATGACCACTGGCATCTTACCACCTGAGTAAGAAGTTTAAAAACTTGGTACTACAGATAGCATGGCAGGTAGCATAATTAATCTTAGCCTCTTACTAACTGTAAAACACTCTGGGTCCATGTTATTATTAAAAAGCCAAATATAAACCTCGCTTTCCAAAAGGATCATGCATAGTTCTGCTGACAACTGCCCTTTCTTCTCAAATATCAAATTAAGAAAAACAGATCCATTAGATATCTGCAATACTGAAAGATGCAACCTCTTCCACACTGCTTTTGCAGTTTTCCTGGAACCAACAGGAGGATTCTGTCACATTCACTAAAAGGAATCAAGTTGCAGATGCAAATTTATATGACTATAGATGTCCCTGATTTACATAAAAATCTGTGATGCACATCCAAGATCTACACTGACTGTAAATAGATTGAATAGCAAGTTCCCTCAAGCATGCCATATGATTTATGAGTAAGTTTTACAGCTATGTGCTGTTGTGTCCTTCAGAAACTAGGGTATTTGAATCAAATATTCAGTGTAATATAGTATGTGACAGACTATACAAATTTTCCGCACAAGACACGGTAATTTTGACTATAAAATCTGATGACAATGTTTATCAGCAGAGTGGTCCGCCTCTCTGAAAAAGCTTTGGAAATTTATGTTACAGTACTATATGGTATTCTTATTTTCCAAATTTTCCTCTTGAAGATTCAAACTATTTTCTTATAGTTCATTATATTATTTACCTCTGGAAAATATTAGTTTTACCTTACAGATAAGCAAACTAAGTTTAAGTTAGTCATTCAGTTTAAAACTTAACTAACTCTTCTTCTGTACATATTGCCTAAAACCCATATAACTATACTCTCATTTAGTTCTATTCCATGTACTCTTAATATTCTCTACTCTTAAAATATATTTTTTTTATTTTAAGACCAGTTTGACCTCTTGAAATAAAAATATTCATCTTCTAAAGATGAACAAACATTGAGTTCTCATTATTTCCCTCTCTCTTTCAAAGCTCTGTTGTAATTTGTTTATAATCTTTCTCCCACTTGTATGGGTGACTTTGCAATCAGATAGACTGCGCTGCCATTAGTTCATCTGAAAAGAACATAATAAAGCCTGTCTCACTGAGTCCTATGAGAATCATGTGTCATATTGACATAGCTAATATTCCAGAAAAATCAGAATTTCCTTTAAGAAAAGAGAGAGGCTACTTAAGCTTAAAAGGTAGTGGGGCTCTTGTTAGCACTTTATAGATTTATATTTTCAAGACTACTCTTTGCACCAATGATTCTCAACCTTTAATGTGCATACAGTCATTGAAAGCACTTTGTAAATGAACATGCTGATTCAGTGGGCATGGGGTGAGGGCCCCCCTCTGAGCAGCAGTCACAGAACTTCATGTTTCTACCCAAGTACACAAGACATAGCTAAGCTGGGGGCCGGCTACCAGGTAAAGAATGCCTTTTTCTTAAATATTTAATTTATTTACATGCCCTTGTAAGAAATCCTATGGAAAGATCCAGTGTACTCCTTACCCAGTGATAGTATCTTGCAAAGCCATAGAGACAGATGTCACAAGTCAGATATTAACATGGGGAACCTGCTAATTTTATCCCTAGTTCCTCAGTTTTACTTATACTTAGTCATATGTGTATGTTTGTGTGTGTGTGTAGTCGTATGCAATTTTATCACATGTGCAATTTCACATACCCACCACCAAGATACATAACAATTCCACCACTGCAAAGATCTCTCATGTTGCCCTTTTATAACTAAACCCACTTCCCTCCTTAGCTCGACATCTGATCCCATCCCTGAGCACTGACAGTCACTATTCCCTGTTTCTACAATTTTGTCATTTTACAAACAGTACATAAATGAAATCATTATTTTATATAACTCTTTGAGATCAGCTTCTAGTGAGTATAATTCTCCAGAGAGTCATCCAAGTGTGGGTGCATCAATAGTTCACTTCTTTTTGTTTGTTGGTTTGTTTTGGCTGGTAAGTATTCCAGGACATTGATGTACCACAGTTTGCATAAAGATCCACTAACTGAAGGATATCTAGATTGTTTTCATTTTAGAATTATTTCAGGTAAAGCTATTATGAGCGTGCACAGATTTTTGTGTGAACATAGGGTTTTTTTCTCTGTGATAAATTCTCAAAAGTGTAATTTTAGGTTCATATGATATATATATATAGATATCTATATATACAGATATATAGATATATATCCAAAATGTACTAGCTGTACTATTTTACCCTTCACCCAGAAATGCCTAAGTAATCCAGTTTCTTCACAGGCTTGCCAGAATTTGGTGTTGACACTATTTTTTATTTTAGCCAATTGGAGAAGCATGTAGTGATATCTCATTGTGCTTTTAATCCACATTTCCTAATCGCTAAAGATGCTGAACATCTTTTCATGTGCTTATTTGCCATCTGTGCACTCTCTTATGTGAAGTATCTGTTCATGTATTTTGCTCACTTTATAACGAGATTACTGTATTTTGTTTTTACTGTTGAATTTTGATCTTTATGCCTTCTAGATACCTGTCATATATGTAGTATACAAATGTTTTCTCCCAATCTGTTTGTCTTTTATCCTCTTAACAGAATGTTTCACAAAGCCAACCTTTCTAATTCTGATCAAGTATAATATATCAATTTTTCTTATTATGCACTGGACTGTTCTTCTCAAATTTAAGAATTCTTTGCCAGTCTTAAGCTGGCAAAAGCTTTTCTCTTTAAAAAAAAATTATAATTTTATGTTTTCCACTTAAGTCCATGATCTATTTTAAGGTAATCTGCATGTAAAATATAAGATTTCAGTTGAAATTCAGTCTTTTGCCTATGAGTGTCCAATCGCTCCAGAGCTATTTGTTGAAACGACTACCTTTCCTTCTTTGAATCGTTTTTGAACCTTTGTTAAAAAAAGAAAAAAAATCAGCTGGTGGCTTTTTAATGGTGGCGTTAATGTCCTGAAGTCCATCCTCACAGGAGGTAACTGACCGCAATCAAAACTACGACAGTGACCCATTCAGTACAGATTTCTTCTCAAAATATAATTACTAAGCAAAAAAAGATTAGTACCAACTGCCTACATTTTAAGGAAAGTTTCACTATAGAACCAGACTACCAATACAGTTCTCTCCATGAGTTTCAGCAGTTAAAAGAAATTTATTTAATTTCATCTGGCTCTTTATTAATCTACTTCCAGTGAAAGTTAAACACTTCATCCTTTCATTTAATAGTCATCCCAGCCATCTTTCTTCATACACGTAGTTAGAGTCTTGTAATTCAGATCAACTCATTGTCTCCTACAAACTCTTTATTTAAAAGAAGGGAAAGATGCAGCCATTGATTTGGTACTCAGAGTATCCCTTAAATACATGTACTGTTTTTGCCTTTATTTCACTATCAAACTGAATGTTCATTCTGCATTTTTTCTTTATTAGGTGCTGTTGATTGCCTGAAATATAAATGATGTCTCTATGTTTTCATAGAAAAAAAGCTGTAGAATTATTCCTGTTAAGGAAATATGTCTCCAATATACTTCCAATTGCTATTCACTCAATCTTAAAGAAAAACCAACGCAAGAACTTTTTCCAGCCACACATTAACCTTCCTAATTTCTAGATGGTAATGGGCTGGGAAGCAGTTCTCCAGAGCTCCATAGCCACACACAGGCCACCAAAGTTTGGACTTCTCTCCTGTTGCCCCATACCTCACTGTGTAGAATCATGACCTCCACATGTCTGATTATAAGCATCCCTACTTTTTCTTCCATCCCTAGCCTGACTTCTTTCTGTGCTATTTCTGATTTCTTTGAGATTCCCATGCGAGTTTGCTTCATTGACTCAGACACTCTTGGTTTCCCTCTTTCTCCAAAGTACCTTCATTTGCATTTAGATTATTGAATTGCTCTGAATGGAACCACATTCCTGGTCACACCTGCCCAGTCTCTGTCTATCTCCTGTCTCTCTCCAGTTTACTCAAAATGGAATTAGTACAGTCAGAATTCAACACATCCATTCACCATATTTTATAGTGGTTAGAATTACTACACCTTTTTTGTTCCTGTACAGAGGATTGAACCCAGGGCCTCATGCATTCAAGGCAAATACTGTATTCTACCATGCTATATACTCAGCCCTTTTTATTTTTTATATTAAGACAGGGTCTTGCTAAGTTTCCCAGGCTGGCTTTGAACTTGCAGACCTCTGACCTCAGCCCCCTGAGCAGCTGCAATTACAGTCATGTACCACCACGTCCACCCCTATAATTACTGTGCCTTGCACAGTGGCACAAAAAAAACTGTCCCTCACCTTTTCTGTAGGTTCTTTCCTCTTTCACGCAGTAAGTCCATCTGGACATGGGTTGGTTGTGAAGGCGAGTTCTCACTGAAGAAGGATAGTTTTGGTGAGTATATCCACAGACTCACCTACAAATAAATAAGTTTCCCAATATAGCTTTTGGGAACTAACAAAAATTCTAACATCTTCATCCATATCATCACCTTTTTTGAGTCTCCTTTATTTTTTTTAATTATTTTCCTAGTGTCGAAGAAAAATGCCAGTATTTAATAGCTGACACAAAAATTGAATTTGTTGCATGCTGAGCAAAGGAGAGCTGTGCTTGAAAGCTAGTCTCCCGGAGCAAGGTAGAGATGATCTTATACAGGATGTTGGCAGCATGAAATTCAAGGAAAATTCATTCACCCTTACAAATTTGAGATAGTTTCATTAGCTTCCAGTATCCAGTATTGCTAGTGAGAAATCTGATACAGAGCTAATTTTGTTTGTAAATTTTTTGTTTTTTCTAAACTCTAGGAGCTTTTAGGATTTTTATCTTTACTTTTAGTGTTCTGAGATTGATTACAATGTACTGGGTTATAACTGTTTCTTATTCATTTCTTCACCTTTGAGGACCTCTTTTAATCTGAAAACTTGTGCAATTTTCAGCTCTGAGTAGCGTTCTCTGTGATATCTTTGACTAATTCATCTGCTCCTATTCCTATGTTGTCTCCTTTGGGAACTTAGAAAGGTGTTAGGACTCCTGCATCAATCCTCCATGCCTTTCTTACCCATCTTATCATCTATCCTTTCTTACCTTTTCTTGCATGCTTTACACCTATTGTCTTTCTGTGGTTTTTGCAGGGAGAACTCTGCAGCTCCAAAATTCTCTCTTTAGCTATGTTCATTCTGCAATTTAGCTAATCCCATATTTTGTTTTTATTATTGTTTTATTTTTTGTTTCTTACATTATTACATTTTCTTTCTTTAAATATCAGTTGATTATCTTATACAATAATCTATCCCAATCAATGTAAATCATATATCCTGTTGCACATATATGAAGATATTTTTCTTTCTTAAAATTATTGTCTGTTTTGTTAATTCCATTTCCTTGGGTGTTAGTTTTTCTCTTTATTTTCTTCTGTGGTTTTCATTGTACTGATAATTTTTGGATTATATAATCAGCTTTGAACTTGAAATTCCCCCATAGTGTGTATAGGTCAGTAGCATGCAAAGATGGGACAAGCAGCTCTACTTTGGAGGTTGAAGATCTTATCATGAACATTGTCAAGAATTATTGGCACGTGGTAATAATAAAAAGCAAATTGACTTTTAGTCTTTTAGGAGGTCTTAATTCACTATAAACCCTGGCCTCCATTTATTGCCTATACCTGGAAAAGATCATTCCCATCAAAACTCTTCCTATTCACTCTCCTTACCTCATACCACTGCCTAGTATGCCATTGCTGTAGACACTGTTCTATTTATTGTACTCTTTCTACAGTGCCTGTAGGATAAAACATTGCCAAGAGGCATTTAACACTAACTCTCTGTCTAGGTATTCAGTCCGCCATTCCTTCTTTTATTTGACATCTACATGGGATACAATTCCTCTTCTCCCAACAAAATCCTTTTTCACTACTTAGAGGCAGTTGTTTCTGCTTCCACCCACTGGATGCGAGTTTGGAGGGAAGAAGGGAACCCACTTCACAACTCTGTCCACTCTGAATGTGGTTGACCACGGCCCTTTCTGGCCCCTTGTCTCCACTCCCTCTGAGGGTAGAACACTCCCAGAAATCCCTCCCTTTGCAACAAACCTCTCTTGTGAGTATAGTTAGTAGTGGATTTCTTCATTGATAACAGCAAAATCCACACTGTTCTGTGCACTTCACAATTTGTAAGCATTAAATGAGTTAATACCAATCCATCTGCTTTCTATGAGAAACTTCTCAGATTTCCTGGTTTACTTGTAACAATGTCTTGTTTTCCAGTGTTGCAGATTTTAAAAAATATCTTTGCTATCATTTCTAGGGATTTACAATATTCACATGTTACCTTGATCTAATTCTCCACCTGCTTTTAAAAATAGCTTTATCCTTTGTTTAGACACATGTGTTTTATATGTATCAGTCTGCTATTGCTGCCATAATAAGATACTATAGAGTGAGTGGCTTAAACAATAAAAATTTGCTTTTTCACACTGCTGATGGTAAGAAGGCCAAGACTGAGGTGCTATCAGGATTGATTTTTGGTGAGGTCTCTCTCCTAGCTTGTAAATACCTACTTTCTTGCTGTAGTTGCAATAGCTGTGGTCCCCCCCACACACAGAGAGAAAGAACCCTCCTCTGGTATCCTGGTATCTCTCCTCCTCTTACAAAGTCAACAACCCTGTCATATTAAATCCCCACCCTTATGATTTCATTTAACCTCCCCTAAAAACCCTGAATCCAAATACAGTCACATCGAGGGTTAACATATGAATTTTAGGGACACACAAGCCAGTCATAATATATTCGAATAGAACAGATTTTAAGTAAAGAATACATCAATTTAATTAGAACAAGTAAGAAAGAACAAATGTAAAAGCATATGAAAGAGAGAAATATTAACTAAAGAATATTCAGAGTGAATATGAAGCATGTTATCTTTCCTGATTGAAAGTAAGCGTACAGTAAGTATCTGTTGAATAAATGTATGAGGTGTACCTCAGAACTTCCCAAAGACAAAACTCACAGTGTACCTCAGAACTTCCCAAAGACAACAATTCTCAGGAACACTTGTAAATATAAGTGGGGTTTCTCAGGATGCCACTATGCAGAAAAAAATGGTAAAAACATAGTCTTTCTATTTACTGTTTACTCACTCGAAGAAGAAAGAAAAATATTGAAAGCCACTAGGGAATTTAAAATTTTTACTGAAATAAAATGCATTGGTGTTACAATTATTTTATATTTATATTTCTGTGTTCGTTCATTCGGTTTTTAATCAGGTTAAGATTTGGGCAGGGTTGCTCTTCCTTACTGTGTTGATGTGTGCATGTGCATTCACACATGTGTACACTTGAGTCTAGGGATTTAAATTCACAATTTATGGCCAATATTTTTATAAACTTTTTAGTTATGTTAGCCTTAAAGTAGTTCCCTAACTTTAAATATGGTTAGGCTACTAGAATGTTATTCACTAACAATAAAAGCAAACATCATGGTCATAACACCCAGTGCTTACAGATTAATAGAAGAAAAGCCCGAGGGAGGTGACTGCTAACAAAGGATGAGAAAACAAGCTTTGGAGCCATAAATGCATTGTAGCATGTTGCAAACACATCAAGAATAATTTAGGTTAGAAAATTGTGCATTATAATATCCATATGTACGTTACCATATGTACAAACTAATGTGTGCAAACAATACCATATGTGTAAGTGAATTTGATAAACAATTTAAAATCTTTGTAGCATTTATGGGTGAGTGAGAGAGGGGATTGGTTGAGTTATATCTATACTCATCAAAACATGCTAAAATATGTAGGCTACAATGACAAATCAGAACTCTGTACTATTTTCAATTATTTTATTCATAAAGTTATGCCCCCCAAAATGTTCCCATATCCAAAGCTGATTTTTTTTCCAGATGTAAGGTTTGACAGTAATACTCAGAATTTTTCACTAATTATTACCTAAACTTAGCAAAGAAAAAATAAAGACCAGTTTCTTCCTCTCCAAAAAAATTCTCAAATTTTAATAGAATACTTTGTCTAATTCCTATATGTTATAGAACAAAGCCGAAATACCTGCTCTAAAAGGACTTTAATCAAATAACATTTTTGAAAGATGAATTGTCATTAGAAAATGAATTAATTCCTAATTAAAAATTAAGGAGAATCAGGCTGGGAATTTAGCTCAGTGTTTCCACCACCTGCTCCGCAAGCACAAGGACCCAAGTTCAATCCCTAGTACAAAAAAAAAAAACTAAGGAGAATCTAGTAAAGTTTGCAAAAGCAAAAATCTAGTCAAGATTTTATTACCGGAAGTAAAGACCACTTTTAAGTGATTTTAGAAAATAATGACTAGAAATACAGAATAGTAATTAGATGACAAAGACAGAGTCTATGTACCCTTTTTACAAACTAGCTAATGACAGGAAGAAAATGATGAAATTTGATAAAAATTACACCTCTTCCTCACCAATTTTCTTAAAGATTACCAATGAAATCTTACTTGATAAAATTGAAGATCTCCTCTAACCCTCATCCTACTCACTTCATGTGCACCATGAGACACACTGACCTCCTTTTTCAAACTCCTACCCTCCCTGATTCGGTGACATTTTTCTCTCTTAGATCTGTCTAATTGCTACTTCTCAGTTCCATCTTTTTAATGCTGCTCTTTAAATGTCAGCAAATTCCAAGGTTGTGAACTCCCACTCTTATCTTGTTTTATGCAGGCTTTTACCAGTAATCTCACCCACTGAATAATTTCCATCAACTCCTCTAAATTGCTGATTCCTTGATCAACATCTCCAGCTCAGTCCTCCTTTCTGATTTCCAGACCTAAACGCTCAATTTCTTACTATACTGAACGTACTTAAAGAGATCTTGATTCTTAATTCACATGTCAAGTTTAACACATACTGAACTAAATGGATTTCTATTTCTCTTACAGTTCCATCCAAGTTGCCCATGTGGTATCATAATTGTCCATGCTGCTAACTTGATTAGTGTCCTAAGGCTGCCATAACAAATTACCATACACTAGGTGGCTAAAGATAACAGAAATTTATTTTCACAGTTCTGGAGGCTAAGCGCAAAATCAAGATCTCAGCAAGGTTGGTCCTTCAAGAACCACTGAGGGAGAACCTGTCTTATGTCTGTCCCCTAGCTTCTGGTGGTGGCTGTCCAGCCATAGCATCTTTCAACTTGTAGGCGCATCACTCCAAACCCTGTCTGTAGTCACATGATGTTATCCCTCTATGACTGCACTGTTTTCTCACATGGCTTTCTTATAAGGACTCCAGTTATTAAATTAAGGGCTCACCTGGCTCCAACATAAATTCTACACAAATGCAGATGTTCCTCAATTTATAAGATTATATTCCAATAGACCCCTCATTAAATTGAAAGCATCATACATTGAAAATGAATTTAATCCACCCAACCTACTGAATATCATAACTTAGAAACACAGTGCACAGTAGGGTACATGCTGTTTACCCCCACAATGGCGTGGCTGACTGACTCATTGCTGCTTCACAGCATCTCAAGAGAATCATAATGCTTATCAGTGGCCCAAGAAAAGACCAAAATTCAAAGGTAAAGTATGGTTTCTACTGAATGCGTACCACTTTTGCCTCCTCATAAAGTCAAGAACTTGTACGTTTAACAATCATAAGTCAAGGACAATTTGTAATTCTATCTACCAAGACCTCATTTCCAAATAAGATCACATTTTGAGATTTCAAGTGAACATGAATTTTAGCAGATGCTATTCAGGGCACTACATTGACCAAACTTGAAATTTCATACTTTTATACTATCCCATACAATTTAACTTGTCATTCTTCCTTCTTCAAATCACACTTCCTCTTCATTGCAACTGATTATCTTTCTTTTTACAATTATTTTTCTAAAACATAGTTAATCATGTAATTCTTCTGCTTAGAATTCTGCTATGGTTCTACGTTTCAGTTTCAATTGACCTTTCAAGACAAATTATAGGTGATTTGGGAATCTATTTTGGAGTGTTTAACCTTTTGTTGTATTCCACAAGGCTGCAATGAACATGCCTTTATTCAGCTTGTTAAGCTTTGCCTTCAACATCTACCCTTTACACAGTCAATATGCCATTCCTCCCTTTTTTTCCTTGTACTGTAAATTGAACCCAGGGCCTTATGGGTGCTAGTCAAGTGCTCTACCACTGATCTACACCCCTCCCCAGCCTGCCATTTATCGTTTGAAACTTAACTCAAATATTACCTCCCCTGTAAACTCATCCCTAACTACCACCAGCCCATTTTATCATCCTCACCAAAATTAATCACCTTAGGCCGAGGCCTGGGAGGAAGTTGGCGCCGCCGCCGCTGCCCTCAGCCTGCTCGCTGCCTCAGCCGCGCGCCGCTCTCCCAAGATGGCTGCCACTGCCGGTACCGTGGGGTCGGCTGAAGGCCAGAAGATTGCCGACCTGCGGGTCATCGACCTCAAGTCCGAGCTGAAGCGGCGGAACTTGGACATCAACGGAGTCAAGACTGTGCTGGTCTCCTGACTGAAGCAGGTGAGGCCTGTTGAGGTCCACCAGGGAGCTTAGGCCGCGCCTCGCTGGCCCTGCCTCGCGGCCGCGGGATCCACCAGCGACACAGCGGTAGACCCCGCATCCGTCCGGCCTATGGGCAGCGAGCTGCCCCGCGCGTGCGCCCCGGACTTCCCCGCTGGCGACCAACCTCCGGACGGTGGTTCGGCCTCGCCAGGGCGGCGGGAGCGGGCTGCGCTGCCTCCGCCTCCGGCCATGGCTATTGAAGAGGAAGGAGGCGATCCGGATAATATTGAATTAACTATTTCAACTGATACTCCAAACAAGAAACCAACCAAAGGCAAAGGTAAAAAACAAGAAACAGATGAGTTGAGTGGAGAAGCTTCTGTGGAAGATGATGCTTTTGTCAAGGACTGTGAATTGGAGAATCAAGAGGCACATGAACAAGATGAAAGTGACGAAATAAATGATTCTGAAGAATTTGGTGAAAATGAAGAAAATGCGAATTCCAAGGAGTTACTTTCTGCCGAAGAGAACAAGAGAGCTCATGAATTAATAGAGGCAGAAGCAAAGGAAGATGCAGAAAAAGAGGACATCGAAAGTCAGGACATTGAAGCTCAAGAAGGTGAAGATGATACCTTTCTAACAGCCCAAGATGGTGAGGAAGAGGAAAATGAGAAAGAAGGGAACCTAGCTGAAGCTGATCACACGGCTCACGAAGAGATGGAAGCTAATGCGAATGTGAAAGAAGCTGAGGATGACATCATCTCGGTCACAATCCAGGCTGAAGATGCCATCACTCTGGATTTTGATGGTGATGACCTCCTAGAAACAGGTAAAAATGTGAAAATTACAGATTCTGAAGCAAGTAAGCCAAAAGATGGGCAGGACGTCGTTGCACAGAGCCCTGAGAAGGAAACCAAGGATTATGAGATAAATGTGAACTATAAAGATGGTAAGAAGGAAGACTTCGTGAAGAGCGATCCTGTCAAGAAGGAAGCCAGAGAAAGTTCTAAGAAAGCAGAATCTGGAGACAAAGAAAAGGATACTTTGAAGAAAGGGCCCTCGTCTACTGGGGCCTGTTGTCAAGCAAAGAGCTCTTCCAAGGAATCTAAAGACAGCAAGACATCATCTAAAGATGACAAAGGAAGTACAAGTAGTACTAGTGGTAGCAGTGGAAGCTCAACTAAAAATAGCTGGGTTAGTAGACTTTCTTCTAATACCAAAACTGCTGATTTGAAGAATCTCTTTGGCAAATATGGAAAGGTGCTAAGTGCAAAGGTGGTTACAAATGCTCGAAGTCCTGGGGCAAAATGCTATGGTATTGTCACTCTGTCTTCAAGCACAGAAGTGTCCAGATGTATTGCACATCTTCATCAAACTGAACTGCATGGCCAACTGAGTTCTGTGGAGAAGGTAAAAGGTGATCCTTCTAAGAAAGGAATGAAGAAAGAAAATGATGAAAAGAGTAGTTCAAGAAGTTCCGGAGATGAAAAGAATATGAATGATAGAAGTAGCAAGACACAAACCTCTGTCAAGAAAGAAGAGAAGAGATTATCCATAAAATCTGAGAAAAAAGAAAGCAAGGATAATAAGAAAATGGAAAGTAAAGAAGAGAAGAATGATAATGGAACAAGTGGACAGATTTCAGAATCGAGTAAAAAAAATGAAAAGAAACGAATAAGTTCAAAGAGTCCAGGACATATGGTAATACTAGACCAAACTAAGGGAGATCATTGCAGGCCATCAAGAAGAGGAAGATATGACAAAATTCATGCAAGAAGCAAGGAAAAGGAGAGAGCTAGCCTAGATAAAAAGAGGGACAAAGACTACAGAAGGAAAGAGATCTTGCCTTTTGAAAAGATGAAAGAACAGAGATTGAGAGAACATTTAGTTGGTTTTGAAAGGCTGCGGACGAGCAATGGAACTTCGAAGATGAAGAGAGATTGCAGAAAGAGAGCGTCGAGAGCGAGAACGAATTGGAATAATTCGTGAACGGGAAGAACAGGAACGCTTACAGAGAGAGAGAGAGCGCCTAGAAATTGAAAGCCAAAAACTAGAGAGAGAGAGAGAGAGAGAATGTAACGCGAACGCTTGGAAAGGGAACGCATTCGTATTGAACAGGAACAGCGTAAGGAAGCTGAAAGGATTGCTCGAGAACGAGAGGAACTCAGAAGACAGCAGCAGCAGCTTCGTTATGAACAAGAAAAAAGGAATTCTCTGAAACGCCCACATGATGTAGATCATAGGCGAGATGATCCTTACTGGAGCGAGAATAAAAAGTTGTCGCTAGATACAGATCCCCGATTCAGCCACAGCTCCGACTACTCTCGCCAACAGAACAGATTTAATGACTTTGATCATCGGGAGAGGGCCAGGTTTCCTGACAGCTCAGCAGTACAGTCTTCCTCTTTTGATAGGCAGGAACGCTTTGCTGGTCAGAGTGAAGGGAAAAAAGCACAGCCAACTGCACGAAGAGACGATCCCAGCTTTGAGAGATACCCCAAAAATTTCAGTGATTCAAGAAGAAGTGAGCCGCCTCCTGCACTAAATGAACTTAGGGACACAGACAGAAGAGATGTGCGAGTTGAGCGAGAGGAGAGGAGAACAGCGATCATGCACGACAGGCCCGACATGGCGCACCCGAGACACCCCCGGGAGGTCGGGCCCAACCCTTCCAGACCCGCCTCCCGGAAGGGCGAAGGGAGCATGTCTGCCTGCCGACAAGCAGGACGCAAGAGTTGAAAGGCCAGAGCGCTCTGGCAGGGACGTGTCAGGACACAGTGTGAGAGGGGCTCCGCCTGGGAGTCGAAGTAATGCTTCTGGGTATGGCGGCCGAGAGAGCGACAGAGGAGTCATCTCAGACCGGGCAGTGGAGCCCAGCACTACCCTGAAGAACGACACGTGGTTGATCGCCATGGACGGGACACAAGTGGACCACGGAAAGAGTGGCATGGTCCACCTTCTCAAGAGCCTGGCTACCATGACACGAGGCGAATGGGTGACGGCCGGGCAGGCGCAGGCATGATGAGCCAGCAGCCCTCGAGTAATGCATCTCCAATTAATAGAATTGTACAGATTGGGGGCAGTTCCATGCCGAGAGGAAGTGGCTCTGGTTTAAGCCATTTAAGGGTGGACCTCCACGGCGATTTTGAAAATGAGCTCTCTGCCATGGTTTCAAGATAATTTATTGAAATCTCCTATAAACTTTATTTGACTACTTAAGAAGAGGACCCTCTGACCTGCTTGAGAGTTCTG